TTGGTTCAGCTCGGTGCCATCACACAGCAACATAAGTGATGGACCGAGCCGGTTGCAATTTGAACCGCTGCTATCACTTGGTTGCCTCAGGGTAGACCTTGGGGTGAGATCGCGTCAAAGGTTTCGTCACGCCTTTGGTGAATGGGGCGATGGCAGGGCGTGGACGATGCTCCCCAAATGCTGTGTGAAAAAGATGGCGCGGCGTCAGATTCAGCTGAGACAACTTTTAAGTTTTAACTGATTGTTTTTGGTTGTTTAGTTTTCGCGTAGGTCAATAGCGTAGAGTGTTTGCGAAGCGGTTCAATCTTTGGAAATAAGTTTTTACTCCCGGAGGGAAGAAAACTTTATTTCCAATTTTTGAAAAACTCTTGGTTTGTAAAAACAAGAGTTAGCTGTGGCAAACTTTTCTATTTGACCTTTGCGCAGAAACAACAACTTGCAAAACAATTTGTAAATACAACCTTTCAAACAACTCAACTCAATCCAAATGAGTCAGTTGTAATTTTGTGTTGCGTGTGCAACATTATGTCTTAAGGTTCTTTTTCCCAACCTTTTTTGCCACAATTATTTTTACCTCTTTATGAGGCCACGCCCTAAGCCCTGATGGCGGGGCGTGGACGGATGCTCCCCAAATGCTGTGTGAAAAAGATGGCGCGGCGTCAGATTCAGCTGAGACAACTTTTAAGTTTTAACTGATTGTTTTTGGATGTTTAGTTTTCGCGTAGGTCAATAGTGTAGAGTGTTTGCGAAGCGGTTCAATCTTTGGAAATAAAACCCTTTATTTGGCGTGCGTTTCTCAAGGTTTATTTGAGGTTGGTTGAAAATTTAAAGTTGGCTTGGGGTTTGACTTTATAAGGTGTGCGTGCAGTTTCCTTCGTGAGGGTTTTAAGATTTATTGCTTTATCTATATATATATATATACATAGATAGTTTGCTTTAAGGTTTTCCTTGGGTTTGGATTAAGGGGTTCTTTATAATCGGTTTGGGTTGGTTAAGGGTTGATTTGGGGATGGTTCTTAAGGTTTGATTAGAGCTGGTTTGTGGACTGTGAATTTTAGTTTACAATTTTATTGAATGTAGATTCGAAATTTATTTGAAGTTGTTGGGGTTTTGTTAAAGTTGGCTTAATGGCTAATTCAAGTTGGTTTAGGGTCAATGTAGTGCCGGCGCACTTTATGTTTTGAATTTGTTTACGGTTCGGTTTGGAATTGGTTTGGGGCTGGTTAGAGATCTATTTAGGGTTGATTTGTGCTTTATTGAAGATTGGTTCAAGGTTTAACGAAAGTTTATTTGGGGGTGGTTTCAGGTTGTATTTCAAAATTGTTGGTGCTTTACTAGGGGTCAGTTTATCTTTCTATTTCAGGCTGGTCAATGTTTTTCTTTTAAAGTCGGTTCAACATTTATTTATGATTGATTTAAAATAGATCTAAGCTTTGGTGTTGTTTCTATTTTGAATTTTCTTTAGGGTTGGTCCAAGATTGGTTTAAAGCTTTATTTATTTGCTGTTTAGTGTTTAGTGTCAATTCGTTTACAATTTAAAATTCATTTAGGGTTTGGATAAGTAAGGTTGGATTTGGGTTGCAGTTGGCTTAGAACTTTATTTAGGGTTGGTTCAGGGTTGCTTTGTTTTAGTGAAAGTTGGTTTATAGTTTTTCCGAAGGGTCGGCTCGAAGGTTTTTCTACGGATGGCTCAAATCTTTACTTACGGTGGCTGGCTCGCTTGCTTACTTCCTCAATTGCTTGCTTGCTGCGTTTCTGGCTTGCTTGCCTGCATGCAAAGTTGTTGCTTGCTCTGGATTACTTGCATGGCAGGCTTGCTTGCTTGCTAGCTGGCTGGCTGGCTTGCTTGCCCCCTTGCCCCCTTGCTTGCTTGGCTGGCTTGGCTGGCTTGGTGGCTTGGCTGGCTTGGCTTGGCTTGCTTATTGCTTATTGCTTGCTGGTTTGCTGGTTTGCTGGCTTGGCTGGCTTGGCTGGCTTGGCTGGCTTGGCTGGCTTGGCTGGCTTGGCTTGCTTGGGCTTGGCTGGCTTGGCTGGCTTGGCTGGCTTGGCTGGCTTGGCTGCTTGGCTGGCTTGGCTGCTGGCTGGGCTGGCTTGGCTGGCTTGGCTGGCTTGGCTGGCTTGGCTGGCTGGCTGGCTGGCCTGCCTGCCTGCCTGCCTTCCTGCCTGCCTGTTGCTTGCGTGCTTGCTTGCTTGCTTGCTTGCTTGCTTGCTCGGTTGCTCGGTTGCTCGGTTGCTCGGTTGCTCGGTTGCTCGGTTGCTCAGTTGCTTGCTTGCTTTCTTGCCTGGCTTGCCTGGCTTGCTTGCTTGCTTGCTTGCTGGCCAGCTGGCCAGCTGCTTGCTTGCTTGCTTGCTTGCCTGCTTGCTTGCCTGCTTGGCCTGCCTGCCTGCCTGGCTGGCTGCTTGCTTGCTGCTTGCTTGCTTGCTTGCTTGCTTGCTTGCTTGCTTGCTTGCTTGCTTGCTTGCTTGCTTGCTTGCTTGCCTGCCTGCTGCCTTCAGTGTGCGCCCCTCGGGAGCGGACACGCCATCCAACACAGGCACCCATGTGGGGAGACAATGGGAGACAAGGGTTGACAAGACCTTGGGGAGACGGACGCGCCATCCAACACGGGCACACATGTGGGGAGACAAGGGAAGTCCAACAAAGGGAAACAAGAAAGGCAACAAGGGGAGACAAGGCCTCGGAAAGGCCGACCCACCATCCAACAAAGGGAAACAAGAGGGGAGACAAGCCCTCCGGAAGGCGGACACACCATCCAACAAAAGAAAACAAGAAGGGAGACAATGCGAAACAAAGAAAAACATGGGGAGGTAAGGGGAGACAGGGGGAGACTAGGCGAGACAAGACCTTGGAAAGGCGGGCGCATCATCCAACACATGCGCACATGTGGGGAGACAATGGGAGACAATGAGAGCAATGGGAGGCATTGGGAGACAATGGAAGACAAGGGAAGACAAGAACTTGCGAAGGGAGACACACCATCCAACACAGGCACACATATGCGGGGAGACAATAAGGAGACAAGACCTCGGGAAGGCGAACACACCTTCCAACACAGGCACACATGTGCCACAATGGGAGACAGAGGGAGAAGACTTCGGGAAGGCGGACACAGCATCCAACACAGGCGCACATGTGGGGAGAAAATGGGAGACAAGGGGAGACAAGACTTCGGGAAGAACACAGGCACACATGTGGGGAGACAAGGGGAGACAATGGGGAGACAAGACCTCGGGAAGGCGAACACACCTTCCAACACAGGCACACATGCATGTGCCACAATGGGGGGCAATGGGAGACAAGGGGGGACAAGACTTCAGGAAGGCGGACGCACCATCCCAACAGAGGCACACGTATGTGGGGAGACATTGGGAGACAAGGGGAGACAAGACCTTGGGAAGGCGAGACGCAGCATCCAACACAGGCACACATGTGGGGAGACAATGGGAGACACAGCACGGAGACAAGACCTCGGGCACAAGAGACGAGACGCAAGACTACCTTCCAACAACAGGACGGGTGGGGCACACGGGGGGGGGGGGTGGGAAGGCGGGGGGATGTGGGGAGACAATGTGGGTGAACGACCGCTGTGTGATTTAATCACTTCAGAAGCGCCGACCCACAACGACCCAGCTTTGAAGTGATGTGCACTCTAGGCCCAATGCCTGTCGAGACGCATTGGCCCTTTGGAAAAGGGTGAACATCTTCCTTACATATCTTTGCATCGTTGTTGTGGCCAACATGAGAAGTCAGACAGTGACATGCATTTTGCAGTCATGTCATTGGGTTTTTGGAACCTAGCATTTTGTAACAACAAACCGCAAAGCAAAGAGCAGTGGGAGCAAAACAAACCAACAACATGTTTATCAAACAGGATGACGTTTCCAAAAAACATGTGCGAAAATCCTGTGTCCCATTGATTTGAACATGGTTTGGTGACATGGCTGGCAAAATTCTCCAGAATATTGTCGCATGGGGCTGTGGTTGTGTTTGCAATTTTGGCTCGCGTTGTAGTTACAAAGGTGACAAACCTTTGCAAAAGTCTATCGAGTTGCTCATTAGAGCACTCTGGTGATTTCAGGCGCGATAAATTGTCATTTCAATGTGTGCCAAATAAATTTAAAGCAGACTTGCCACGGAGGTTGTGTTTGTTGGTGCCCTAGTTGTTTGCTTGCGCACAAACAGGTGCTTGAAAACTGTTTCTGAACAAAATTTCAGTGTTCGTTCCCTCTCACTTGAGGTTTCGTATATTTTCGCGTTTCAATCGCTTCTAAACGTCAGTTGCTCAGGGTTTTTCAGATCGTGGCGTTTTGATTTTTCAATTTGCACGGGTCATTTGTGCAGTGTTTTTTCGTTTTGTCCCCTTATATTTGCTTGCCGTCGTCACTGATTTTTTATGTATTTTATCAGTTTGCGTTGATGATGCTGTTGCTACCATTGTGGTTGGTCATGAACTGGTGTTTTCCTCGGTGAGGTCGGTGTGTTTTCTTTCAACCGCCGTTGTTTGTGTCTCTATTTGGAATGGCAGGTTCACTCGAACCGATGTTGCGTTACGAACGCGCCAGAGTCTGAAACATGTTCAAAACAACCTTCGCTTGCAACCAATGTTTTCGTCGGAAATGTGTTTTGACAAGGTGAATGCTGGGGGTCTGAGAGATACGTGCTTGCTCCTCAAACTTCCGAATTTCCGGCATGCCGTACGATTTTTGTGCTGCGAAATCTTATTCTTGGACCATGAGGTTGACTCCCTATGACGACGGCAGGAGAGGCCATACAACCTGGTTGTTGCTGAACATTTTGACTTGGTTTGCATTTACTTTGATTTTGAAAGTCTCGAAATTCATGAGTGCAATCAAAAAGGTATGTGTCAAGAAGTCAGAACAATAATGGTGTGAGACACATAAATTGTTCCATGAGTCTCATTTGATTAAAACAACGGAAATTCACATCTCGTGACATGTGCCAATACACAATGACAAATTAGTGACATCGTATTCTTCCA